CTCAAAGGCACCCAGTTCAAGGCTCTGTGGCAGAAGGAGACAATCTCCTCCTGTGCAATTAACTGTCTCTAAAAACCTGCTCAGCTATGGGTCGGTTCCAACTCTACAGTACACAACAAACAAGATACTAGTGGCTTGTTAAGAGCTGACTGCAACTCGTAGCTGACCGTATGAACAGTAGACCTGAATCCTATCTACTCCTGTGCCTTCTGCATTATCTGATAATACTTTATCTCATTGCTGCAGCCACTGTGTCAATGCACGTGGTTGAGGGTCCTCCTCTTTTCATGGACCCTCCAGCTTTCCAAGGAACAGCCTAACAACATGCTTAAACTATATGAGAAGAAGTTCTGCCATCTTTGCCTATAAGGAGCATTCTGGCTGCACTTTTCCAAGACATTATGTGTTTGTTCTTTTGGCTGTCCATGGGACACTCAGCAGTCTTCACTAACACCAGATTCAGAGGCAGCAATCCATCTTCTGTCATTCCTATTCATGGTCCAGTTCTCAGATGCATAGCTGGTGACTGAAAAGACCATGGCTTGAATCAGGTGCACCGTAAGTCTTTAGGCCGACATCATTGCTCTTCATTACTCTGGAGGGACTCTGACAGCAGACTTTCCCAGTGAAAGATGTCTTTTGATGTTGACTGGACCCAAGCAAGATGAAATAATCAACAACTTCACTCTATAGTCCATCTATCATATTGCCTGTTGGCCTAGTGTTAAGAATCATGCTTTCTTAATGCTGAGATGTAATCCATACTGCAGGCTGTAGTTTTTAATCATCTGCAACAAGTGTTTCAAGTTATCCTCAGTTTTAGCAAGCAAGGTTGTGACACCTGTATAACAAAGGTTGTTGATCCTAGGATCCTGATGCCACGTTCTTCTTCATAAAGTCCTACTCATCCAATGATTTGTGTCATGTTAGTGACTTAGTGGAAAGGAATTACACTGCCAATCTAAAGGAAAGTGGTTTGAACCCACCACCTCTTCCACAGAAGATGAGCAATCTTGTTTCATGCAATTTACTGCCTCTAAACTCACTGAAGGGTCAGCTGTGAATCTGTTCTGACTCAGTGGTAAACGATAGGTCCTTCAAGGGTTAATTTAATAAGCCAATGTTGTTCTTGCCTCCAAGAGTTCAATCTCTTTCAAGTAACTCAATAACCTTGCAGTCTCACTTTCGAGCTTGCATTCTTTTAATATTCTCCCAAAGTAGATAGAATTTTTCCTTCATAAGTCAAGTCAACTATATTCCTTTTTTAAAAACAAAACTACCTTTTATTACCTCCATTATAGGCACATTGTATGGCCTCAGTTCCCCATCACCGGAAGTGGCCCAAGTTTTAAAGAAACAGAATCTTAAGATTATACAGTACAGCTGAACTCCCGGATGCTGAGAAACTTATTTCCCTTTTTGGTGATGTGGAAAAAACAAAACCACTTTCTATCAGAGATTTCAAGTTCCAATTCTATTGGAGTTAGTGCCATAGAATACTAATTAGGACTGCATGAATTGGTGTTTTAAGAGCTAGATAGTGAACTGCCATCTTCCTGGAATATAGGAAAGTAAAAGATGTCTTGTAGAAGCAGGGGAAACTTAAGTTAATTTAAAATCCCTGCCAATTCAAACAGTAAATAACAGTATTTCCAGAGCAAAATATGCTGTTATATGGTGTCAAGTCAACTATACTCGGATATTATGTCTGTTTAGAGCTACAATGATTTGAAAAGGTTTGTATTACAAAGGGGTTTCCCCCCCCAAAGAGGCAATCACTACCTACCTATGACCTTAAAATTATATAACTTCCATTTTTAACAGATAAAATTTCCCAGAATTTTAATTTAGCATGTAATAGTCACTTGTATTGTGAGACATCTAGTTTCTAATTCCCTTCTAGTTAAAGTCTAACTGAGTGTAAAAACAAATCTAGTTGCCAGATTACATTGGTTAGGAAATCTATCCAGTACAAAGGCAATCATTAGTTATTCATCCTTAACTTGCCAATTATGCATTTCAAGTTGGAAATTACCTATATACTATGTACTGAGCTCATTGTAACAATATGCTTTATCGGCTTAATCCTTAAAGCTAAGTCAAGGTAAAGAGACAACTGCACTAATATTATTGAACAATTTATTACCTTGCAAGGTTAGATTTGAGTAGGTAATTTGAGAAGGCAGTGCTCAGTCTCCTTTAAGGCAGGCCAGTGATGGAGTACTCCTTTGTAAGTCACTTGACAAAACTTTTGTAAGCTGATTTATAGTAAATTTTTAATTGTGATTTTAATGCAAGGTTAAATTTGTGTTGACTTATAGTGAATTTTAACTAAGACATTAACAAAGAACTTTCAAATTAAGAAAAGTACATCCCAAAACCTTTATAAGAGACATCCAGTATGTTGTCTCTTCACATTATTTAAATGAGAGAGAAAAAAAAAGTTTATAGAGACATCAAAATGAACCAACCCTTTCCACAACTAAAACCCAAAGTCATGCGGTGGAAGTATCTGGCTTGGCAGGGCAACATGAAATGAATGCACTATGCCACCAAAGTGCCTCTCCCAAGAATAAATGGTTCAAGTAAAGATCTCTTCTAATTAAATAACTGACTTTATGTTTCTTATTTTTTATTATTTTGTGTGTATGTACCGTCAAATCGGATCCGACTGGTACAGGAGGAGATTGCCTTCCCCTCTTCAGCAGAGCTTCTGGTGGATTCAAACCTTGCACCTTCAGGATTGTGGTGCAGCTTCTAGCCACTAGGCCACCAGAGCCCCTTATGATGTTTCTTTCATAAATTCAAATAAGATCTCTAGATTTCACAAAATGACATGTTGTGTGCTGCTGAGTCGGAACTGACCCATAGCTGACTCTCTCGCAGGTTTTCAGAAGCTGTAAATCACACACGAGGAGATCGCCCAACCTTCTGCAGAGGAGCTGGTGGATTTAAACTGTGTGTCTTTGTGAATACAGCACAGCTTCTTAATCACTACAGCTCCCACAGTGAACATTTTAAAAGAATGTTAGAATTATTTGGCTTCTTAAAAAATTCTCATTATGAAGAAGCAGCTTTGCAAAAACAGTCCCTCTATTATTTTTTAAAACTCTTATTACTACATATTTCACCAGAGATCTATTAACTATTTTATGTGACCTACACTTGCGTTTCAATACCATTTAAAAAACATTATTTCCTAACGAAAAGATGTTTTTAAACATTTTATTACTTTAAAAACTGGTACTGTAAGGAAGGAGGATGAAAAAATTGGGCTTGGGGAAGGAGAAATACTGCTCTACCAATGTTCTCCATTTCTAACATTTTCAAAAGTATGTTGTTATGTGCTGCCCTTCCCTCTAGGGGGTTTTCAGATGTTGTAAATCACATGAGGAGAGTGCCCTTGAAGCAGCTGGTGGATTCAAACTCCATACCTCTGGGCTGGAAGAGCAACTCCTTAGCCACTAGGCCAAAGGACTATAATTTCTAATTTAAATAGTGGGAAACTACTAAACCAGAAACCTTAAGGGAAGTCATGGAAAGATATACTACAAAAATAGCCTACAGCTCTCAATTATAAACAAACCTCCCCAAATCCAACTAGGGTGGGCAGGAAATTAGTATTAACTTTCCCACTAATCCTATTCTATGTTCCATACTAACACATTAGAATTGAAATTTCAAAGGAAAAGGCAAAACTTCATATAAATACTCAAATCTAGAAGGGTGCCTCCAAAATTCTAAAGTAGTCTCTTGTAACAAATGCTTTATCTCAGGCATTATCTCTCATTCACCCTATTTCTCTTCTAATATACTTATCATCAAGATCACGGTTGAGCAAAACTTAAAATTTAATGTTATCTCGCGCTCATTATTTAGTCCCATTTCTGACTTCTACAAATTTTTAAATCTTGCTTTGTCAGAAACTCTAACTTTTAGGATAAAACCTCTTCCAACTATCTGTTCTCCATAAAAAATTTTTTAAGGAGCATTTAGTACCCCAAACACAACCAAACAGGTAACCCTTACATCAGAGAAGGTAAGCTTTTTCCTAAGAATGTACGGTCTTGGAAGTGGCAGTGCCATGAAATCTTATCTGGCTAAAAGCTTTATCCTTTAGGAGAAAGGAAGGCAAGAATTCGTAGTCAACTCTGAATAAACAAAAATTTGCTCAACAAAATAGTTCTTTATCTATTTAATCCTTTATAGGATAATGATAGCGCATTAACTGAATGTGCAACACAGATGATGGCCAAAAGTATTCATTCAGCTCAGCACGTGCAAAACGCCCTGCTCAACGGCCACCTCCTCTCCAGGCTGCCAGGATCACGGCTGAGCTTTGGGAACCTTCATTCCCTTCAAAAGATTAGAGTTAAGAGCAAGCCTGGTAAGGCCCATACTTAAGAAAATCAAGACACCCGAGTGGGCCGTAAGTTGTGGCGGCGGCGTGGCCTCCGTCCAGTTGCCTAGCAGTACCTGTCGCTCATGGCGGAGGGCCGCGTGGTGCGCTCGGGGAACACCCGGTCTCCCGGTGGCACCCACCGCAGGTGCACCTGGCCCAGGGCCTGGCCCGGTCCTGACCGAGCGGTAGAACCGGACTGCCAAGGCCAAGCGGCCATCCACGACGGTCCACGCCTCCGGGGCGCCCGCATGGCCAAACGCTCACTAAGGCCTAAAGCCAAGTTACAGAGAGTTCCGGGTAACCAAGACAACCAAGAAGAAGAAAGTAAAATCTACCGCACGGGGAAGCAAAGGAAAGGTTTGGAGGTGGGGAAAGCGGCCATCTGGAGGAAAAAATGTCCTCCACCCGCCAACAGCAACCGGAACAAGGATCCTGGCTCGCTCCCACCCTCAGGCACGAACGCTGGCCACCATGGAGCGGAACAAGCGGAGGCGCCGAAGGGTGGGGGGATGGTGGGGGGCGGCTTCCCGGCAGCCCCCCGGCGCGGCCTCGGCCTCCCTTCTGCTCCGACCTTCCCTCGGCGGGCTGTCGCACTCACATTGTGAACGGGGCAGGGGGACGGGCGAACGGGTGGGCGGGCCTCTCCTGTGGCAGTTGCTCGGAGATTGATTCCTCTCGGGTGGCGACTCCTGAGGTTTTTCCTCCCCAGTTGCAGCCTCTTCTGGCTTTCCTCAGGCGAAGGTGGCAGCGGCGGCGGACTCGACCTGGGAGCCCAGAATGCACCGCACAGAGAGAGCAGCTCCCCTGGTCGGAGAGTGAAGGAAAGTGTAGGAAAAGGGGCGCGAGGACAGAGAATGAACGTACGTGCGTGCGAGCGAGGGGTAAGGCCGGGCGGCGGCTGGTGACGCAGCAAAATACCCGGGCCCTGCCGCCGCGCGTGCGCAGTCCTTACTTTGGGGCTCCTGCGCGGCTTTCTAGAGCTATCTACGGGATGGGAGGAGCTTCCCAGCTCCTGCGAGATTCTTCCCGGCGGCGGCTCCGCCCATCGTCCTCGGGCCCGCAGCCGGCGAGTTCCCGCCTCGCCGCCCGCGCTTCGTGCTCGCTGTAGGAAACCGTTGGCGGGGTAACCGGCCGGCCACGCGCCTTGGCTCTTTTACTCGAGAAACGACTTCATATGAGGAAGGCTGAGGTAGAAGGAGGTCAAAAGTTGGGAATGTTAAATGAAAATAAGATTAGCCACTCGTGAGCCATACTACTGAAGAAACATTCCCCCGCAAGAAAAAAAAAAGGGTTATGAAAAATCCGGTGTGCTGCTGGTCAAGGTGTTGGTGATACTTCGGGAAAAGGGCTCACTGGAGAATTGGGGTGCTGGCTCCACTGTACCATTATTCCAAAGGGTAGAGGCCGTGTCTAAGACCAGCGGAAATTTGAGATATTTGAGTATGCGTGGTGGGGAAGCGTTTGCCTTCTAGGATGAGATTTGACCCTACAATGACAGGAGGGTTACAGGTGGGAGGGCAGATAGTTGAGAGAGTCAGCATCCGAGAAGAGACTAGAACAGTTTGTGTCTATGGGCATATAAATTGGGGAGAGGGTTTCCAATCTAATTTTACGCTTTTGGCACAAAACACTGGTTTAGGTTCTGAAGCTTGGTGAGAAAACAGTTTCTCCATACTAGGACGTTACTTAAAGGTTACATACGGTAAAAATACTCAGTGCACCTCTGCCTAGAACACAAAAGCTTAAGGAAAGTGCCCTAACATTCTTGGAAAGAGTTTGCGTTTGAAGTAGGGAGAAATTTAAGGAATTTTGTGTCTATTGCGCCAGAGAGAAAATTGGATACTAGGGACAACATTGGACTTATTCTCAATTACCCTGGAAAAGAGACACTAAATCTCAGATCTTAAGTACTGATTCCAAGTCATCCTACTGTTTAGAAAAACACAAAGATAAAGGCTCTTGATTGCTAGTGTCCACTCAGAAAATGAGAAGAAACAAAACTAGTACATAGCTGTCCTATGTAGGATAAAGTAGAACTGCCTCCTGTAATTTCCAAGGTTGTAAATCTTTATAGAAATGGACTGCCACATTTTTCTTCTTTGGATTGGACTTGAACTGCTGCTCTTTTGATTAACAGCTGAGTTTACCCACTGCAACATCAGGGCTTCTCAAGGACAACTACCATAATTATTGTGTTGTTAGGTGCCATCAAGTCACTTGCAACTCATAGCGACCCTATATGTGCAATAGCTCTGAACCCTGCCCTTTCTTGAGCCAACCTCATTGTCTCTGACACACCTACTCCTGTTACCCCAATCACTGAGTCAATCCATCTCATCCAGGGTCATCTTCTCTTGTGCTGTACCTCCACCCTCCCTCCTAGCAACATGCCCAAAGTATGTGGGATGAAGCCTCCGAAGAGCAGCCTGGTTTCACCCTCTCCAGGATGACCCTGTTTGTTGTTCTTGCAGTCCATGGTATATTTAATACTCTTTTCCAGCACCATAACTCAGAGGTATAGTTAACGTCTATTATTCTTAGTCATTGTCCAGCTTTTATTGTCTTTGTATAGCAATTACAAAGACCATGGCCTGGATCAGGCGCATTTTAGTGTCTAGACTTGATATCATTGCTTCTCAATACTCTGGAGAGGTCCCTGACAACCTATTTTCATAACACAATTCATCTTTGGACTTCCTGGCTACTGATACCAATATCAACAATTTATCATGATGCTGTCAGTTGGCCCTGTGATGAGAATCTTTGTTTTCTTGATAATGAGTTTCAAGCCATAGTGAAGGCTGCAGTCCTTGACCTTCAGCAAATGCCTCATCTTATGCAGGGTCTTTTTCTCCTGTGCTGATCCTCTATCCTTTCAAGCTTGATGTCCTTCTCCAAGGGCACCATGCCCAAAATATTTGAGATAGAGCTTCAAAATCTTTGCCTCTAAGGAGCAACCTAGTTTCATCCTCTCCAAGACAGATCTGTTCATTCTTTTGGCAGTCAGTGGAATGTTCAATACACTTCTCTAGCAACACAACTCAAAGGCATCAATTATTCTGTCATGCTTAGTCATTCATTGTCCAGCTCTCAGATGCATAGCAAGCAACTGAAAAGACTGTGGCCTGGATTAGGCCCACTTTAGTCTCTAGACATTGTTGATCTTTAGTGCTCTGGAGAGGTCCTTGACAACATATTTTTTCTTTTCTTTTTTTATTATTATTAAATTTTATTAGTTTTTGCATTTTTTTTAGTATATGTGTGTGTGTGTGTGTGTGTGTACCGTCAAATCAGGTCTGACTGGTACAGAAGGAGATTGCCCCTCCTTCCTCGGCAGAGCATCTGGTAGATTCGAACCGTGCACCTCTGGGATTGCAGTGCAGTTTCTTGCCACTAGGCCATCAGAGCTCCCCCTTTCTTTTGTTTTTTGTTGGGTTTTTTTGTTGTTGTTGTTTTTTTGCTGAGTACCCATGATGGATGGTGCTTGGTGAAGCTCCCAGATTTATTCAGGTTTGGAAGCCGGAGTGGTATCCACTTCCTAAACTACATGCCTCTGGAAACTCTATGAACATAGAGAAACAATGATAGTTATAGAACACGGTTCAGGTCTTATGTTCATAGGGTCACTATGAGTCATGCTTGACTCGACAGCACTTAACAACAAAATGCACTTTATTAATAGTACATTACAAGATGAGCTCTCTTAAGTTCCTCCCCTTCTCAGAGGAACCATATGAAAACTGTGTCAAGGATGTGAGATTTTCAGTGTGTGTGTATCGAGTTGGAGCTGAGGGTCTCTCTTCTAGTGCTGTTGCTAGGGCTGGTGGTCCAAGGGGCTCTTATTCTTTGGAGGCTATGTAAACCATCAGGTCGAGCACCTTGTTGCTGTAGCCAAATTCATTGTCATACCAGGAAATGAGTTTGACAAAGTGGTTGTTCAGGGCAATGCCAGCCCCAGCATTAAATGTGTAAGAGTGGTGTCACTGGTAAAGTCACAGGAGACAGCCTGATCTTCAGTGTATCCCAGGATGCCCTTATGGGCCCTTCTGATGCCTGCTTTGTACTTTCTTTATGTTATCATATTTGGCAGCTTTCTTCATATGGTAGATCAGATCCATGACTGACACATTAAGGGTGGGGAACATGGAAAACCATGCCAGTAAGTTTCCCATTGAGCTCAGGGATGACCTTGCCCACAGCTGTGGCAAAGCCAATGGATGATGTTCTGGGCAGCTCCACTGCCATCATGAGACAGCTTTCCAGAGGGCTCATCCACAATCTTTTGGATGGCAGTGATAGCATGAACTGTGGTCATGAGTCCTTTTATGATGCCAAAGTTGTCATGGATGGCCTTGGCCAGAGAGGCCAAGCAGTTGGTGGTGCAGGAGGCATTGCTTATAATCTTTAGAGAGTTGTCATACTTCTCATTGTTCACACCCATCACAAACGTGGGAGCAGAGATGATTACCCAATTTGCCACTACCCTGCAAGAGAGTCCCATCCTACTCTAGAGTTGTGAAGACAGCAGCGTACTACACAACATACACAGCACCAGCATCACCCAACTTGATGTTGGCGGGATCTTGTTCCTGGAAGATAGTCATGGCTTTCCCATTGATGACCAGCTTCACATTCACAGCCTTGACATGACAATGAATTTGCCATGGATGGAATCATACTGGAACATATAGACCATGTAATTATGTAGTTGAGGTCAATGAGGGGGTCATTGATGACAACAACATCCACTTTGTCAAAGTTAAAACAGTCCTGGTGACCAGGTGTCCAGTGCTGCCAAATCTGTTTATTCTGGCATTCTATTCTATTCTATTCTATTCTATTCTATTCTATTCTATTCTATTCTATTCTAATTCCATTGGTCTATATATATATTGCCTACTAGTACTAAGTTATTTTTATTATCATGACTATGTAATAAGTTTTGAGATTAGGAAATGTGAAGCCTCCTTTTTCTCTTCTTCAGAGATGCTTTACCTATCTGGAGTCTTTTTCCTTTCCATATAAAGTTGATGATTACTTTTCCCATCTGTTTTAAAAATGATGATGGGAGATGTATTAGAATTTCATTACATCTTTAGATAGTTTTTGGAAGTATTCATAATTTCATAATGTTCAGTTTTATAATTCATGTATAGATTTCTTTTATTATAGTAGTAGTTTTCTTTTTATAGGTCTTTTATATCTCCCATTAGATTTATTCCTAAATATGTCATAGTGTAGATTGCTATTGTAAACATTATTATTTCCCTAGTTCCTTTTCAGAGTTCTCTTTGTTACTGTAGAAAAATTAAGGTGAATTTTATGAACTGATCTTGTACCTTGCCCCTTTGATAAACCATTTAATTATTGTGTTGTTGGTAGTGGTAGTTGCAGTCAAGTCGAGCGTGACTCCTTCCAACCCTATGAATGACAGATATGAACTCTGTTCTATCCTGCACCATCCTCCCACTTCATGACACACAAGGGCCCATTGCAGCACCATAACAATCCACCTGGTTGAGGGTCTTCCTTTCCTTCACTGACCCTCCATTCTTCTGAACATCATGTCCTTCTCTAAGAAATACTACGTTCTACCAACATGTCCAAAGTATGTGAGGTGAAGCCTCATCATTCTTGCCTCCAAAGAGCACTCGAGCTGCACACTCTCCAAGAAGTATCTGTTTGTTCTTTTGCCCATTCATGGGATGTTCAGTGCTCTTCTCCAACACCACAGCTCAAAGGCGTCAGTTATTTTTCCGTCATCTTTCATTGTCTAGCTCTCAGATGCATACCTAGTAATCAGAAAGACTATGGCTTGAAT